AGAGAGAACTTACATATGGTGAAAAACATACAAGAATATTCTATGAATGTATGTTCACACTTATGTGTGTATGTATGTTTATATGAATATACGTAATATGGCTGCAGCGCATATTAGTGATAAAACAGCAATGAAAATATAACATTCTGCCACGCCAAATTTAAGTTGTTGAATAACAACCGACGAAAACTAAAAGCTCTTGCGAAAACGCTGAAATAATAAGTGCCTAGTTTCAAGGTACACCTCTGTGAGATCTTCAGTTCAATTAATCTTTTTAAGAACTTCAGAAAATAAAGTAGACTTTTTATTTCTCTTTAGGTACCATATAGAAACAAATATATATGTATATACATATACATACATAATAATATAAATTATTTTTGCCATTCAGACAGACTGGAATGTTCGAGGTATTTGATATAGAAAATACATACATACCTGTATGTATATAAATATATGATTAAACTTGTTTCATTGAATGCGTATCGCACTTGATGTCAAAACAAAAGTACCATTCTCAAGGGTATCATGATTGTAACAAGTTACAGACCTGCACATTCACACACATTCATACACCATTTATAGAGACAGAGACCAATGCAGTGCACGAAAAAGAGAGGATGGAGAGCGAATTTTTAACATTTAATCATTAAACTGCTGTTATATGTACTCATCTATTTATTTTTTAACAGAGAAGCGAAGAGGCTAAGAACTCATATTTACTTACATACATATTTGCACACATACATACGTACATTTATGTACATTCCTAATTGTTATTTTGAAATGGAAATTCAGCGACGACACAGTTCCGACGACGCCATATTGTAGCCACACGTCAACTGTGTGAGAGAGCAAGGCTGAGAGCTATTGAGATTGAGAGCAGTTGCTGTTATTGTCATGTTGTTGGCATTGCCATTGTGTTTTTGTTGCTGCGTCATCAATGCAAACTGCGCACTTTTATGAAATATGTTAATATATATGTATGTATATACATTTATGTGTATTTTATATTTAATTCAATATGTATACATATGCGTAAAAGTTATATAGTTGTACACGTGTGAATAATTATAAGTAAATCAGGAAATAACATAAAATTCGCTCGTATGTTGTAATAATGCTGTGTGGTGAGTTTCCCAGGTTAACATTTTGTTGGCTAAAATTTATTTTATTTATAAGTACAGTGTATGTATGTGTGCTGGGATATATATCCTTGTATATTACATATGTACATATATATAGCTAAGTATCTTAGTGATGCGATTCATTTTTTGTTTAGCCATCGACGTGTAAATGCGTCTGACGATAAGAAATAAAACGGAATTGGCGTGATATTGAGACGCATATGTACATATGTATATAATTATACATGTGCATATATAATTATATAA